TCGTGAGAGTAATATCCTCAACTTGACAATATACCTTTGTGCAGTAATATGTAATGATTTTCTAAATTCAATTGAAATAACCATTTCGAAGATATGAATGACTGAGAAGGGTTATTCTCCAATATGGCTGACAACTTTAATATTCTTTATAGGAACACCCTTTAAGATTATTTCAGAATGTAAATGCGATTTGAATACGTTTTTATCAATGACATTTCCTCATCTGTAAAACTATGTGCTCAGGAATTACAGCGTGTTACACATGAGGAAAATGGCTTTTGGTGTACATTATGCATTATACAGTTCATAAACAAGTAAGTTTAGAAACAAAATACAAAGATTAAAATAGATGTTAGACTCGCATCTACATTTCAAAAACACCATATAAATGACTAAGTGTTCCAATTTTATTGTGGCCTGCCTTTGTGGAAAATGGGGGTCATATTTTTTAAATTTTCTAAACCATCCAAAAAATGCATCTTAAAATATAAAAGGAGTGCCCTATAACATATTAACTATCCTTCTCGTAATAAAATTGTAGCCATTGGTTCACATGAGAGACACTCTGTATAATATTAGCTTTATAATTCTTAAGATTAATTTATTTGCGTTATGTTATATAACAATGATTGCAGGTTTCCGATTTTTAATGACTAAAATATTACTGTGAACTTGTATTGCTATTAAGAAACTGCTTGCAACATAATGTCTCCTGTTTTTCATATTTGTGATAAAGATCCTATAACAGTTTAACCTATAGATGTAAAATATTTAAATGTAAACTGTAAAAAAGAACCACACGGCCTTTAGTTTCCCTCAATATTGAATGATTTTCATTTTTATATAATTTCATTTTCAACCCATCCAAACAGGTTAGTGAAAACCAAGGTTATTGTCAACACCGTTCGATAAAATGATTAAATTGATTAGTCTAAAGCGTTGAGTACGACTATTACTAAGAACACATACTGAATATGGATTAAAAATGTGTAATATTTTGTCATACTATGAATTATTAATGAATCACTAAATAATCAGTTCATCCTTAAGGAAGAGGACAATCAACTACTTTGAGGGGATTTAGAGAAAGTAAACATATAAAATAATTATAATGATGTTGAATATTAATAAAACTAAAATGCTATTTTGAAAAAAAAATTAACATTTAATGGCGTTGTTTTTACAATTAATTTCCATCTTTTATTGATTTATAGGCGTTGAACGACGATGTTTGGTTTTTGTAAAGCTTTTGTTTAGGCTTAGACAAAAGAAACGTCGTGCAAGCTTTTTGTGTTCCAATAGAAATATATCACGGCCTTGCAAAATCTTGAGAGTTGTGTACGACTTTTAAGTCTTAACTTTATTTACGAGAATTTTTTTAATTTTTTCTATCAATTGGTGGTTCACAGTCCAATCAATTAGTTTGATGTTTTAGTTAAAGGTAAGGCGGAAACGTGGTTTTTTTCTTCAGGAAAGCTCTTAAAGCATTATAATATGTTGACCTTATGTTCAGAATAGAAATCTGTTACCTGTTCTATGGTAGCTTCCTACTACAGAAATTCAAAAATAACTCTAAACACCTTAACTACTAAAATTGTGTGAATCAACATTCAATTTTATGGCTTTGTAAACGATAAACCAGGGCAGGTATTTACAATTCTACCGAGTAAAAAAATACAATGTGATTTTTTCTGTTTAGGATCATGTAAGCATGTAAACGTATACAGAACGGCAACGATAGAAGCTATTGCAGCTAAACACACTACACTCTCCTCTGCGTGTGGGAAAGAGGCGTGATGTAGAGTAACAATAAAGCCAAACGTAAAATGTATTGATCTTCACTCGTTGGCCTTTGAACTATATTTGTCATACAGTATTCATTAAGTCAATAGAAACGAAATAATATTGTATTAAGTAATTTTATTTTACATTTTGTACAAAAAAGCACATGTTAATTATTGTCGATAATTGCTGTTGTGTTTTGGTTTGGTTTTATTTATTTAGGACATCTAGTAATAAGCCTTAAGAAACACGGATAAAACATTACCATAACATCCTTATTCAAGATCAAAAATAAGTTAAAAGAGCGAATTTCTGTGCTACTTCATCAACCCCATTTTTGTTTCTGTATTGTTACCTGATTATTTTAAATCCTCATAAATATATTCCATGTATGCAGAATTTAAAATTCTATTTAACCTGAGGGAAGGAAAACCATAAAGTTCTCTTAAAAAGGAACTTTGGCATTTTGGCATTATGGGAAGATCTTTTAAACACAATAACCCACTTTCCAAAGCATAACAAACCACCTACACAATAAGTGAGGATTATGTATTATGTTAAGCTAAAAATAATGAAAAAATTGCTCTTGTAAAGTCTCTTCGTTTGTTTTAGACTTTTATTTATTGCTCGGAGCAAGACAGGTTGGCGAAACTATCACTAACCTTATCGTTCAAAGAAGGAAAATCTTGCAAAAAATGTATATTCGTATTTTCCTTTTTCATGATAGTTTTATAGAAACATTCCATAAGCTCAGTCCTAAATTGACTTTAAATGTAATAAAGTCTAAATATAGAACAAGATTTACCATTTTTATTATTTCGTGTTGGTACTACTTTGAGATTTTTGTGTTTTCTTTGTTGCTCTTAAAATAATCAATGTAATGAATTGTTGGAATTATAAAAGTTTAATGTTGGATCAAACAGAGTGACCATATCACATGCATATTTATAGGCTTGACGTTGAGAGACGTTTATTAATATAATATCTATTAGCTATTCACTATTCAGTGTTCAGTGTCCCAAGGGAAAACTTTTAATACATTCACTTTTTAAATTTTACAAATGTTTTAAATATAAATATTACAACACCTATATATGGTAGGCAAAAGTATTTTTCTACTTGATTACGATACTGACTGTAGACGACAGTCCTGTAAAAACTTAATAGAAACTTAATTTGCAATTTGTTTATTTAAATAACTTACTCAAGTTTGGGAACATATCTCATTACAGTTTATGAAATGCCGTAAAAAGGTGTAATTAAGTGAACAATACATGTTGTCGCGATTGATTCACCGAATTGTTATGCTTCTATTGAAAAATTTGGTGATTTACAATTGGCCAACATTATTACTTTTTGAGGCGACTTATTATATGAATGTAACACACATGTTGATTTAATTCTTTTTTACCTTACAACTATTGTAGACTTTACCATTTGTTGTAACTTTTTATAACTTATAAGTCTGTAGCTTGAAGTTTTAGAATAGTTTGTCATATGCACTCGCAAATACGCATAACGTATATATTTACAAGGATATATGTCGGTTCAACAGATAAGTGGTCTAACACATAGTTACTGTAACAACCTCAATGCATGTCGTGAAATGCTGTTAGATACAAATATATTTGTACTTCTTGGAAAACCCGCTATATACTCTGGAAATAAAATATTTGCTAAGCCAAAAATAGTTTTCCTCCAATTTATGGTTTCTATTTGATAGAGAATTACTCTGCAATGTAATATATATCTAAATGAAAACGTAAAGATCGAAACACACAAAAAAAGCTTAGAGTTATTTAGATTCTAACATTAAATATTAAACATAGATTGGTAACTAAATGATTAATATTTGTTTGATAATATGCAAGAGCACGAATAGTTAAATTTCTTTTACTTTTTGACACTTCAACCTCAAATTCTTCACTTTCCTTAAACACTTTGCCTCTATGACGTAGGTCTAATAGTTTTTAAAACCAAATATAGCCATGATTCTTGATATTAAAATGTCTTAGAATAACATTATATGAACACGTCTTAGCAATAAATTACAACTTTAATATCTCTCATTATAAACCAAGTATAACAAATTTAGGAATAATACACGTCCAAAAAACAATTAAAATTTCAAAAGTGATCGAAAAATTCAAAGATGTATAACAAATGGGAATGAGATATCGTATAATCTTAATTAACTTCAAAGCTCTACTGGCAACATTTAAACCTGCTTAAGATCGTAATAGGCTTCTCACTTTAGAATGAGGCAGATCCAAATTAGTGACGTTTATCTTTAAGACTAATTAGTGAAATGAAAATAAAGTAAATAAATTCGACACTTCGCATTCGCAGTGTTGGCATACTGAGCACCAGTTTCACTTCATAATTGTTCAAGTTAACATTGAGTTAACCAATGATTGTAGTCAACGCTTAGAATACCCTTATGTAGTACAGTATATTGTATACAACCATATTCCTTGTACATACTTGAATACTACATATTTGAATTCGTACTTGAATAAATGTAAAGCTCACACTATAACCTTTATGAAAACAAACATCTCCTTCTAATACTACTCAAATATTCACTTGTTTTGTGATGTATTTGTACATATTGTATAAGGATTCAAATAAAGAAAAATGCGTTTTAGGTATTGGCTGCATCTTTTAAATTCTAAGTGACACAGCAGTATTTTTGGCCGTTTTACGAACTAACATACTCTTAATAGGATGCATTTGAATTAAATAACAACCTATTATTTTAGTATTGTTGAAAAATTGATCTTTAAAATTGGGTATAATTGATGTGTTTATTTCTTAACTAAGAGATAAGATGAATTTTTGATAATAAGTAACAAGCAAGAGATATTTTTATTCTAAAATTATACCTTTAATAAAAATGTATAGAAAGGACCATTTGCTAATTTAGCCTGACGTTAATTTCAACTCAATACAAAGTACTAACACAATTGTACTCTAATACATTTTAACACAGAGGAGGTAAAGTTTATCGAGTGGAAAGCTAACAGTTCCTGCAGGAAACCCATAACGAAAAAGCAGGTCAAGGATTACGATTGACATGGACATAAGTATTCCCAGAAGGAAGAAGGTACTTCGTTTCTGATGTAGGAAAGATGCGTAGGCAGGGGTGACTTCAGCGCTTCGGTGGCGGCGTCTGCAACTAAAGACGGCGACAGCAGGCCAGTATGCCGCCAGCGCGGCGTTCGGCAACATTGAAATACACCGCGCCGATCTGCCATAAAATACTCGCGAGTTGAAATGTGAAAAAGCCAAAATTTTGGTAATGCTCGCTGGTGTGATTAAATTCAAACTATGGTGAAAATGCATCAACGTAACCGGATAGTGGTGTAATTGTGGATAATTTTTGTGTGGAAGCTGTTTAAATTCGTGTAACCTTAATGATTGGTAGATATTATATAACTGTTTAAAATGAAAAATATATTGCTAAAACAAGGTCGTGGTTGAGAAAGTGTGTGGAAAGTTGATTAAAACAATACAGAAAATTCTTACGCTTGATTCAGCTAAATAAAAAACCAGGAGAAAACTGAAAGTAAGTGTTTCAACATTTCAATAATATTCCTAAGTAATAGTTTTGTTAAATAATATGGAAACACACATTTTTTTTTCAAACATATGTGATCACCATATAAATAAACTTAAAATAGCAACAAAAAATTTGTCTTAAAAACTTCAAAGAATACCACACATGTAATTACAGAGTATAATATATTTCCGATATAATTTGCTTAAAAAAAATATTTTTTCCATTACACAAGTCAAAATACAATTTTTGAATGTTATAAAATTTTAACCGTATTTATAAAAATGCCAATGTTATTTTACACAGATCTAACCATAATGTGGATATAGAGGAGCAGTTCTGGTGGAAACCGGTCGATAATTGTGTTAAAAAGTGGCAGGGTCAGCTAGATTAGTAGACTCGTCAAGCATGTCTAACATATCCCAGATCTTAGCTGGCTTACGTCTCGTCATAGTGATGCAAGATTTGTCATAGTTGACATTGATTTTAAGTTGGTCAATGTCCAAGTCATCTGCTAATAGGTGTCCATTTGAATTTGTATAAATAAAGCAATCATATAAAAATAGCCGGACTAAAATAGTGATCTAGTAGCAGCCAGTTAGTTGTTGAATGATTAAGTAATAAAATCTGGTAGAAGTGACATTTTATAAATGTAACAATGACAATTATACTGTAGCTAATATAAAATACACGTATATAGATCCGAATATTGCAGATAGTTAATTATAGTGATTTATTCCATTTGAACATATCTATATTCATTCAACAATACAGTTTACACAAACATCAATGGACAAATATAATACATAGTTTAAAAAAACACAAATTGTGAATGAATGGTGAGGTACCTATTTTTTTGTATTGAGGTACCATAACTTGGATTATTCCAATTACTCCCCTAATAAGTATGACTAAAACCTACTTACCAAAAAATCAAAACTACAATAATTTTTCGGATTGCACCATATAACTTTATTTTATAAAACTATACTGCAATGCATACTTGCCCTATATAATTTTATTTGAACTAATACTTTGATAGTAATTATTACGTAACGGTTACATATTTACGATTGATATTTTACACTGTAAGTAGATCTAAATTTAGCACTTTGTATATCTACGGTATATTTACTTTGTAATCTGCAGATTTGATTAAGGTCAAGTTCCCTTGTATCCTATGACAATGCAGGCAATTAAGACTAGCTATCCTAACTATTGCTATTATTACAGAACTGTTAATATAGTTGGTGCACAATAAACTAATTCCATTTAATCCTTTTAAATCCCACTAAAATTACCTTTGAAAACAACTCTATACGAATATGAGATACAATAACTCTAAGTTTACTAAATATTGGACTCGTTACAAACGTTACGAAACTACGAAATACTCAGCCTTTACCATATTCTAGGCCTGCGTGTAAATGTATTCCAACGTATTTCGAGTTTGCTGCCTTCTGTTTCCCCAAATACCACACGCGAATGGAAATAATAGACTACATGGAGAAAATTCAAAAGTAAGAAAAATGCTACGGACACAAGTTAAAGAAAACCTGATATGTAAAATATTGCTTCATGTATTTCTTTTAGCAGATAATAATCTTCTGCAAAAAGAAAAAAAAATCCAACATTTGAATATATATGTATACTTAGCGTGAATAAAAGGTATGTAGACAAATAATATAAATCAATAGACTTGACTTCATTACGTTGTAAGTTAATTAGCGTCATTGGTTATTTCCTCGATTATAAAAAATAAAATTTAATAATATTTATTATTTCCTTCTAAAACATTAATATATCAGCCTAAATTACCAGTTTGGTGGCTTAGGAGTCAAGAGACAAATGTTACCAATCTACCAATGTGTAAAACGTGTACAAATTTTTGGTGTTTCGTGGCTTAACTTAATCTAACTTAATGATTAACTTAACTTACTGAAGTATCGAAAAAAGCGACATCCCACAGACATAGAATTTTTTTTGTTTGTTTTATGGTACTCCCGGTAAACGGGAAAAAATTAAACATGCCATGAAATACGTATTAAAACACTCCACCGTCTTTTAATATTCACAGTTGAAATACATTATGCAATAAAGAACATTTCCTTTATAAATTTTCATATTCCACGTTCCTGCACAACACTCATAAGTTTCATTTCAAATGCGAACTCACGAATAGCAAACACTCTTTGAATAATGGCATGCTTAGTTCTGATTAAACTGTTAATTTAGCTGTAACAATCATTTCGGAAAGTTGAATATTTTATAACATGTTATACATGTGTTGCATTGGTTTCCACGTTTGAAAGATTGGACTGAATTATTAATAATCTATTGTCAATGCTGTGACTGTGTTTATGTCATGTTCTATACATTTTACAGGAATCTATAATTCATTGTTTTACATTTTCTTTCGTAAAAAATACATCATGATATTTAACCATATCTAAGTGATCACTTTCGCCGGTTTCAAGTTTTATGTATTCATTCCGGTATGTACGACTAAGGCATAGATTAGTATTATCATAATTTTTCTCATTATTATTCTTTTTTTGACGGTTACTCATCACTAAATAATATACAATTACTTAAAAAGCGGTAGCTACTTTTGTCATAGCTAAATAAACTATGACCTACGATTAAATATAGCACTTTTTTTTCTAAATAGTGTATTATTTAGTGTCGAGTGACCGAAAAAATAACAGTTTCATTTGTATAATTTTTTGTAGTTTTATAGTACATTGTTTTACTCTGAGTAACTATTACGCCACTAATAATTAATAAGTAAAGCGTAGTAATAATGCAACATATACGACTACAAGTATCAGTAATTCGTCATCATCGTATATTCGTCCAACAAGAGAAATCAAATAAATAACTATTACAATTTAATAAGTAAAATAACTAAAATGTTGACAAAAAATATATTTTATGATTTAATGTGATAACATAATTAAAAAAAAAGTATTTGATCAGCTTTGATATACTTAACATCAAAATATGGGTTTTGTAAGAAATGTTAAAAATTGAAATAGCTGCGTGTTATAAGCTGCGTTAGCTCCAATAATCTTGTGAAAGTTAACTAAAGTGAGCTCAAACTTTACTTGTCCTCTAAAGTACTCTTATTGAATACTCAGAAGTTTTAGAATCTCATTATTAACAGTTTAGGAATTCACTTGAGGTTTTCAATCCTCTTGCTGGATTTTAATTGAATTTTTACAAGAGATGTTTTTGCAACCCTTGAATTGGTTTTAACTTTAAAACTCGAAAGTGACGCAGCTTGCATTATAAATATAGGGAATAATCATTCGTTAAGGATACCTAAGGTTTGTGAAAAATCTAAATCAATGATAAATCCTTACGAATAGTTGTAACATTAAATTAAATGGTGATATTATGTAGGTTGTATCATTATAGATTTTATAATCTAAATCTGAGAAATTTCGACGGCAAATAAGTAAATAGTCAACTGTTAAATAATTTATATCTTCCCTGACTAGACAATGTCTAGAAATCATTGACTAACGTTAAGAAAATGTAGAACATCATGAATTCTACAGAGATTCAATTACATACATTCGTTCGATATATTCCTTTAAATCGTATTCAGAAAAAAATATTACATAGGAATGTTGTATGGGTTTATAAACTTATTAATACTGTTTTTAAATGAGCTTAAGTTTTCAAATCTCTTTTTTATTATTTAAATAGTCTTCCTCAATAGATTTAACTGATTTTAGATACAGAGTTTATAACTACGTGAGTCTGAGTTACCCAGTAGCACAAGCATTATATATTTCCAGTTTTTTAAGAAATTTCGGTGTGATGTCACTTTCTTTTTTATGTTTTTATTACAAAATGTTGAACGATTTTTACTAGGTATAATAATTGAGTACTATGTTTTTATTTGCATGTGAATTAAGTATTTCGGTGTGAAATAAATATATAAAAATATGTAAAACCAAAAATAATAAAAGTACATGTGATTGATGCATTAGACTACAAGTGAAACTGACATATATTCAAATAGCTAATAGACTACAAACATCAAATTGCTTTCAAATAAAAAAAAAACAATTATAAGCAAAATTATTTACGAAAATATTGTCGGGTATTGTGACGATTTCTTATAATTTATTTGAAACAAAAAAATATAATTGTACGTTAATTAAACTACTGTAACTGCTGTTTGACTATCTAAATTTTAGAGCCCATTATACAACCGATTCAACTCCAACGACTTTCATAAGAGCCAGGCCAAACCGTGCTACTACTCTAGTCGCTACACTTTTGTATATTTTACACCAGAAACTTAATCTTTATTCATGATCCGAGCTCGTAGGTGATGATGTAGGTCTTGTATCCACTAGAAGTAGGCCACCATGACTTATTGTGTCACCCCGGTCCAACACTGGTGCGATGCCAAAATCCGCTTCTAGGTTCCACATTCTTCTCGACCCGCCCGTTGTTTACTACGCTTGGAAACTAATCCCTTGCGTAAATGTCCCCTGAAGTGTAAAGAGAAGTTAATGTTGCACGTTGAAAGCTGGGTGAAGAAAAGCGGTACTTTACATTTCATGGTGCAAACAGATACAATGTTGCAAAAATAGAATACCGTTGATAGGTCACTTAATATTAAAATTATCGTGGTGGATTTTGACATCTATAGTGCAAGTGAATAAGCTAAAAATTAAGTGCATTGAAGGGTTCTCTTCAGAAATTGAGATTTTTAACATTATTGTGACGTAAAATGTACACAATTGGTATGTTATGAGTTCTAGTATGGATTTTCGATGCCAAAGAAACAAAACATTAAACAAAATAAATAACTGGTAAGGTCTATTCCTGTTCAACTATACTCTACCAAACAATAACGAGGTCCAACGATTATGACTTTAAATCATCAAACAAAGTATTTATTGGTTCCGATTGATTGTTTTAGAGTGAGGTTCTACAACTATACACTTACCACTTTGGGAAAAGTTCACTTACTACATAGAGAACTG